AGCTTTGCACATGTAAATAATCTGTTTCATCATTTTGTGATTTAAAAGCTCCCTATACATACTGAGCACCTTTCCCAACTGCAAACCATTAACTTCTGTACAGAAAATAATATTCACACACATTAAGGCCATTTGAAAGTATTACAATAATTTAAATATCAGATTTTAGCATAATGAAGTTTTCATCAGTTTTTACTTATTCTACCTGAGTGGGTTTACTTGCCAGTACTCTCCCCTCTCACATCATGGAACCCAAACATAATTCTGTTGAACTCCTCGCTCACTCAAGCAAAATCTGAAAATAATCAACTTTTGTAACTTGCAGAAATGAATCTCCCATCTTGCCATTTCCATATGCTGCCCTCTCATTATATGCACTCTTTAAGTTTGTTGTTTAGCCACAAATGACATGAAACACATTTCAGAGCTAAAAGCGTATGATTTTAAGTCCTATAATAAAATATGCAAGTATCCCAAAATCCACCCCCAATTATTAGTAGCAATTCAGTCGATGAAGATCAAACATTAGACAACATGCAAAGTTTAATTTTTATACATGACATACTAAAAAGTACATGTCTTACCTGTATTCTGAACATGCTCATTATTACAAAAATTAATGAGCATCATACAGCATTTTAATTTTATGGGAAGCAAACACACAATCTTCAAGCATAATTCCAAGATAAAACAATTCTTTCAAGCTACGTTATTATGAGATGAACTTTAATTGTGAAGAAGAAATTAAAGTCCTAATGAAACTTCAGGGCTTCTCTTTGAGATACACAGTCACACAGGAAAAGGACCTTTTGAATTCGTTTTTCACATTAGAAACTTCTCAGCAGCAAACACAATGATGATAAAGAAATTACTTTTAAATTTTTAATTGTCTTGTACCTTCTGTTAAATGAAAACTTTAGTTGAATAAAAAAATATAATTAAGAAACCAAGATTTAAATAACTCACCTTGAAATGATACTAAGGAAATCTATTACCGAAGTTTACCATAATCCACATCGTGGCTGGAGAAATTCATAATGTTTCTTTTAAATAAAACAAGACAAAGCAACTGCACTGGAGATAATGTTATAATAAAAACAATGCTCTATTCTAATGCTTTCAAACACATACATCCATATAATTTGATATTTAATGTTACATAACATCAAACTAAAAAGATAGCATTTGGATTAGTGACCTCCAGTTGACTGGCAGTATTTTTCTGTTCACTTCTAACATAAAAATCCTTGCTCACGTTTGTTTCTACAGAAACGTTCCACAAATTTCATCTCACAAAACTCCTTTCTAAACATTCGTTAACGTGTCAACAATACAGGCTAGTTCTCAAAGGAAGGAAAAGAGGGTATATATAACAAAATACAATGTAAATGATTAAATGTTTATGCATTTTCTCTAATTCTTACAAATAATAACAGAATTTTATTCACAAAAAATTATGAATTTTATCTCAATTTCCTCTCCTCTTCCGCTGGCATAGTTGTTTCCCCATTGGTTAAACCAGTTTCATCATCTTCATCCTCGTGATAATGTAGAGATATTTCCGAGTCCCGACGCACTTTTTTAATAAGTGGGACATTGTCACTATCATTACTGCTATCATCACTAGGACATGTCCTTTTCCTTAAGGACACCTCACTTGCATTAGGGGACTGTCCTTTATTCCTTGCCTCATGGTCCGAGCTCTTAATGTTATTTCTCAGTTCACTGTCACTCCCTACATCATTCCTATCATTGTCCCCTTTTAAATCCTCACTCTCATCCTCGCCAATATCATCTGCATCCAGTTTTAAGATTAACTCTTCAGAATCGCTAGAGGAATCATGGTTGCATTTTGGGCGTTGCCACGCCCTGGTCTGGGGAGCTGAAGCGGGCGGACTATGAGGGTGGACATTCATAGATTCGTCAGATTCATCGAAAGTCCTTGTCTGGTGGTCCTGAGGAGAACGGGGTCGCACATGTTCGGGTGTGGCAACATCACACGACACACTGTCCTCCTCCAAAGCTGGGCGAGGGCTCTTCCCACTGGCCTGTCTCTTTGTCCGCATCTCCCCACCTTGTTCCTGCACTGCCTCTGTCTCTAACTGTGTCCTTGGAGAAGGAGTCCTGGCCTGCTGGAACGGTTTGGTCCTCTGGCCCCAACCCCGAGCTTCATCTGAACCTTTCTCTTGAGCTCCATTGTGGCATAGAGTAGACCGGGATGCATCGCCATTGCCCAGAGCATCTGGGCGCTGCTCCAATGAAGATAAGTTCCCCGATTTCAAGGAACTGTTCTCCTGTTGCAGGAGTTGCACTGCTTCCTTCGATTTGCGTAGTTCTTGCTGAAGGTAGTAGATGGTGCTTTGCATGCCTTCCACATCTTCATCCAGATCCTGAAGGAACTCGTCAAGTTCTGTAACATTGAATGGAACAATCCTTGAATGTCACGAAACAATTACATTAAAAATTATTTGAGTCATTGAGAACAGAGGTTAAATACTGTACCCACATTTTTGGTGGGTTGCAATTATAATATTTTTCAAGAAACAAATTTATTATTTACACTTTATAACTAAGAATTTAATTAAGAAACAAATAGCAGTTTTCTCAGAAATTGGATACAACATATTGGATGAATAAAATAGAGTCCTATTAAATCCGAATGCCTCTAGTTGATTATGCTTATTGAAAAGTGTTACCCATTCAATATTCATTTAGTTTTCATCAGTCTATACAATCAAAGATTAATGTTATTTAATAATATGATTATAATCATAAAATTTACCCTAATGAAAAAGCAATAAAGCAATTCAGAAAGAAGTAAGGATACATTCATATAACTTATTGCTAGACAAAAATACCAATAAGTATAACAATGTGTTTTTAATAAAAATTGGTTTGTTTTGAATAATATTTACCAGATTGGGATTTCTTTACTTCTTCGCTAAAACTCTTCTGCAATGCAAGATCTCCTTCCAGTTTTGCTAATCGACCACTTGATATCATCTGGCCCAGCTCCTCATTTTCTTGATACAAGAGACGACACTTTGCCATCAGCCGCTTCCCTGTATTGCTGCACATACACATACAATTGCTGTATTAAATTTCACCATTTAACTAAATCAATGCTAGCCCACATGCCAGATTTCAGAATATCATTATGAGCAATTAGAGAGAAACTTTTATTCATTGAACATGTTTATGTACGTATATATATTAAATATTGGTTAACCTGTACCAAATCTTTGCTTGTAAATAAATTTGATAATGCAAATTTTCTTTTCGTTATAGTTGAAAAAATACGGCATGATACAATGACTTAGAATTAATTCGGAAAGACTGCTATGTTAGTAGAAAAAGAGCACATGGATCATAAAGAAAAATCTAACGCCTACACTGCCAACACTTCTCCTGGTTTTCTCCATCACCCACCACAATCGGTGAAGTTGTTGGGGGTCTATCCATACATAATGTAATGCAAATTTGGAGTATTTTGAGTACCCCTTCTCACCCAATAAAGTGACTGAATCCCCACCTAAAGAATTGCATACATACACAACACCCTTCCAGTTATAATAATTAAAAGTTAATCAAATAATAAAATTTATGATAATGAAACTCAGAATTAGTTGGTGATGCTGATTGCACCAAGCAATAAAATCGGGGATGATTTTAGTGAAGAAAGGATGCATAGGCGAGAAACTTTCTGATAATATACCGTTATACTTTTGATCAACATACAGTTTATGAAAATATATTTCCATTTACAGTAACAATTTTTAATTCAATACTTTTGAAATTAATTATATTTAAAGAAAATGTAATTTTTAAATATTTTAGTGAACAACCGAACAAAAGAAATTATTTCCACATAAATCAAAAAAAAATAAATAAATAAATACCAGCATTTTGTAACACTAAACAAACATCTCACTGAAACAGCCTCTCATTTCACCTCACATCTCAATGAAATGAAGCGTAATGCTGCTTCAAACCCCCTCGCCCCTCTTTGGGGTTACATAACTTGTGGACGACCCCTTGTCTCATATCCCAAAATAATAAACTAGTGGTGCTACAGAATGGCAGAGACTTTCCTGTATTAATTTTCTATTTCCTTTGGTCTCGGCTAGCTATTTGGACTTGCCACATACTCTTGCCAGCTGTCATCTATGGCCGCCCAAAGTACATTTTCTTGACATTGTCTTAATTTTTCAGTTTTCAAATAGTAGAACAGAAATATTATTTCAAGAATATTTAAGAACAGTAAAACATCCACATAAATAACAATTTCCTTTGAAACATTTTCAGCCATTTTTAATAAAATGGTGTTTAAGCACTACTAAAAATTTGAAATTTGAAGCTTTTTACACAGAAAATATTTCAGTTTTCAAAAGAACTTCTTTTGAAGCACATTAACTCACAAATACAATAGTGTTTACAAACTACTGGAAAGGTACACATTAATGGTGTAAGAGATCTTAAAAAAAGAAAGAGAAAAAAACAACCATTTGTACAATTTTTGAAAAACAAAAAATTACCCAAAATGAATTTCATGTAATATAAAAAGGGAAATAGTTTGAAGAAAAAAATTTGGAGTCATTGATGAGAAAATGGCCTTTGAGCATTTCTGAAAATTTGGAATTTTTGCCAGTTTTGACAGAAAATTGTTGAGGTTTGGAGAAACTGTATATGACATTATTTACCGCGCATGTACTCATAAATATAGTAATGAGAGCAAAAGCTTCTAATGTAATATATACGATAGATGAAAGAAAAAAAATAAATAAAAATTCTAATTATTGAAAAAACAAAATATCACATGGCATTTATGTCATCTCGTAGAGTACATTTATTACTATTCCTACCAAAAATTTAGACAAAAAAATTTGAATCCTTGTTTGAGAAAATCATGTCTTTATTATTTTTTAAAATTGCAAATATTGCATGCAATATTGTGCAAAAACTACTAAAATTTTCAAAAAATGTGCAGGACCTTAATGAAATAACTCACTATGAAGAACAAATTTTATTCAGAGGAAAAATCTCTATCTTCAATTTTGTAGTTGTAGGAAGACTCCGCAAAAAATTCCAATTTTTGGCAAGTTTTGAAAATTTAGAGTTAATTGTGAAAATTTGACCTATGGAATCTTTGCAAGTGTATTTTACTCTATTGTTACAAGAAATTTAAAGAAAAAATTTTGAAAATGACTAGACAGACAGACGAACGGACATTTAGCCTTCAATTGGCTTTTTTGTTATCAAGGATCCACAAAACAGGGATTTTGGCAACACCACGAATGGGTGTATTTTTTCTTAACTCAATTTAGCAATTTAATATAATACTCCGTATATATGTATGTATACAGGAAAGTAAAAATGTTCTGGGAAACTGATGATTCTTTTTTTTATGGAAAAGGGAAAACAAAGAGAATAAAACATATTTGGCAAATTATTGCTGACTTTACTGCCCACAAATGAATTGATTTTGTAAAACTCAAATTCTTTTACCTTCGTAAAAATTATTCTTAAGCTGTCAACACATTTAAAAATGGTTATTTTAATCTAACGATGAAATGGTGTCAATAGTCAAAATTTGATGTCTGATATTAATGATATCATGAACACATGAATTGATACAGCCATCTACACTCAAGATGAAAACATACATTGCTTCGAAACTAACTCATTTTCAAAATACAAAATCTTTATTCTTTACTTTGGCATTTGAAATACCTGCAATTAACATTTTTTTCCACAAAAATAAATAAATAAATTCTAAATTTTTCATTGTTTCCACAAAAACCCTTACAGGAAACTTACAGCATTCATGTTCAATTACTCTACATTCATAAACTTACATACAAATTATAGCTAGTTCTATCTCCTGCAAATGGTTTCGCATAACTTGAAGATTTTCAGTGAAAAACATTTCAAAACACCACAAAGATTTTCTTGAAGAAATAAAGAAATTTTGAACCTGTCTGGTGTGAACTTCCAGGCGCTCAGTTCATTCTGGGTTTCCTCCAGGCGTGCCCGAGTGGTGAGCAGCTCCTGGCGCAACCTCTGCAGGAGCAAGTTCACTGCAGGGTCCAACAATGCAGAACGCAAGGCAGCAGCCCCAGGTGCCTGGGCTGCTTTCAGCTCCGCGATTTGATTCTGCAATAACATCCCGTCACACTCAGAAAAATACGACATTGCATCAGACTTCATAATTTCTTCATTTTTGCCAGAGAACTTTTATGCAAATTATTGACAGTGTAGAAGACTAAATTTCAAAACGATTTACTAAAATTACGAAACTTGTTTCTCATTAACAATATTATTTACTGAAATACACAAGTTGTGCACATCATAGCAGTAGACTTTCTCCAATTATTTGCGAGTTCCATAAAAACATAAATGCAACAAATATGCTACTATCATTTCATCAATCTCTTGCAAAAATCTTATCTAACTTCTTTAAACCATTTACTGACATTTTCTAAAATCCAGAAATCTTGTTGCCACATAATGCTGAAGACTACTAACATACTCGCCTTATTGATTATTACATTTTATATGAGAACTGTAATGTTCATGTAACAAATGATGCTGTCCTACGAAGACATTTCTTCTTAACTTTGCGAGGAGGAATGTCAAATTGAAAGCTTTATCCTTTTTATTTTTTGGAATAATTCAATGTAGCACAGGACTACCCACAGACATTCCTTCAAATCTTGGTAAATACCGTTACAAAACCTATGCAACTGACAATGAACAGATTGTCGTGAAACAACAATTTATACACAATTACTTTTTAATTTATTAATATTTAAAAAAAATGAATTCATTAATATTTTAGTATAAGACTAAATAGAAGAAAATATTTCAACAAATGTTTTTTAAAAAAAAAATTATATCAATGGTACATGACAGTCAAGTTACTGTATCACACATAACAAGTACACCAGTGATTCTCAAATATTTTTGACCAACAGCTCCCTTCAATTTCTCAGAAATTTCATTAGTGCCATACTAGCCAGAAAGATGCAAGTCTCCCCATCCCGTTTTGACCACTAGGGAAAGATGTACTCTTTAAATAGTAAAATTCTTAAAAATATCCTTTTTCAAAAGAACTATTGTATCACAGAAACAATATGCAATTCCTTAATATTATGCTTTAGTTTGATTAGAGTTGCATTCTTGCAACTTGTTACCAGTGTACCTGTCATATCAACAGGCACAACCTTACACAAACATCACTTGGTCCTTCTCAGTGCACTCATCACAATCACCCAGCTTGCAACAGCATGTCATCCTCCTCATCCTCCTCACTTTATCTCAAAACTCAAAGCAGCATAACCAAAGTTACTCGTCTGGTAGCATACCCCCCAACAAAACTAATCTAATGATTGTTTTTCTGTTTAAAAAAAAAAAGATGTATCTTCAATAAATGTGTCATGGCATCCTTGGAACGTGATTCCAGCACTGCTGAGCACAGTTTCAAACCCATTGGTATATACCATCGGACTAAATATGTGTAACATAATTTTAGTTATTTCCACTTCATAATTAAAGGGCTCAGTACAACAAGGGGCTTTCCCACATGGACATTGTTCTGAGATAATCAGGATTTTACCTGAATTTCCCTCATTCATTTTTAACACAGTACCATATATAACTCCATATTGGATTTAAATAACGTATTACAGGAAAAGAATAATATTTGCAGTTTTGTATAATTCAATTTCACAAAAAAACCTAGGGTACTTGTACTGAGCCCTTCAATTTGTCCAATTCATTTACAAGAAAAATGCTTCACCTGTAAAAATAAACAAACATTAAACTACAATAATTTAAATAATTTTCACTCACCACATACTCCTGCATCTCCTGCTCCTTGGTGGCCAGCCTCCGCACCAGAACTTTCTCCCGATGGGTTGACTCCAGATGCTGCTGCTTGGCACGTTCCTCGCTGTCACGCAGGCTGGCCAACTCAGCTGCAAGCAAACACTCCGTGTCCAACCCAAGCCGCTCAGAGGAAGCCTCCGCCAACAGTACTGCAGTGTTTTTTTTATACAAAAAGGAGAGAGCCGAAATATCTCGGCTTCCTGGGAAGCAATGCGTTACCCTGGAGAGCAGGCAAGCCCTGTCTACGCTGGCCAGGAGGGGAACACATCGCGGGCAGCTCTGCAGCGCGCCGGCAACCGGCAAACAACGGCGCTATATGCGGACAACTAGTCGAAACAGGGGAGAAACTTACTTTCTTGCTGAAGCCTATCACGTTGAGCACTACACTCTTGCACAAGGCACAGCCCCATGCATCAAGAATGAGCACAGAGCCCGTTTTGAAGAACACTGATGAATAATCATTTATTATTTCCTCTGAAACACTACTTTCTATCACCACACACTTCATAACATGCACACTTCTGTAACTTTTTCATTTCTTTTTTCCCCACTGACTTGCAGCACCATCACGTCGAACTATATCTTCTGGTAGAGACAGCACGACACACTCGCAAATGGTTTACTTTATCCAAATGCATGTGCACATTCAAGCCAAAATACAGCAATAATACAAAAATGATTATAATTTGATGTTTAATTGTTTATGGGCGAAAACACATGCATACATAGATAACAAGAAAAATAATTTTTAAGCATTTGCAATAAAATTACGATATCAAAAAAAGCTACTTTCAGAAACACACATGTCAAAATACTTTGGACTTTTCCAGTCTCAATAGTTGCCAAAGTATATTTATCTTCATTATATTTCTTTCATTCACCTTTTTAACATCTCTTATCCTTTCCACAGCTCCCTACATCAAGTATGAATTTCACAAAGAATTCAAACAAAAACTTTCTATTAATGCTTTGCCCTTGGCAGAAATATAGAAATTAAGTCCTCTTAAAGAATGGATACCATTGTATTAACATCAGTCTTGTATACAAATACTCAAGAACACATGAAGAGGAAATGGTTACAATATCCGTTAATAGGCCATCAAAAAACACTTTGGTTGACTAATAAAGTGAAATATTTTTCTAAATTTAACACATCACTGAAAAACGGAAGCCGTGTTCTTCCTGAGGCTCAACGAAGTTTTTTGATTTTTAACCCATGTTCATTTATGTGTACCACCAAAAATCGTTGTGAAAACTTAATTCTTGATTTTCATGCCCTTTGGCGAACCTAATGATTTCCACTTGGAGTGCAAGATGAAATCAGGCAAGAACCCTGAATAGCAGTACAGCAAGCAGGCTGGCAATCTGCAGGAATATTCTGATCTGGATGGTATACGATGAATGATGGCTCACAGAAGGAGCCGAGGTGGTTGTGGATCCCAGCATGAACTTCCAATGGAAGTAGTAGCATTCTTTCTTTATGCATCTGCTGATGAACACTCCTTAACACAGCTGAGGAAGATAAATTAACTAAAACCTTTACCTAGCTTTAAAAGGAAATGATTTCACTCACTGGGTGGAGATTAAAAATGTGCAGCACTATCTGAAATTTTTCATCACATGATGGTCACTGGTCACTGATCACTACACCACATCACTGGATAAACAATGATAATTACATACAAGACATACATACAAATATGCATGCAATATCATTTCCAAAACTAAAAGAATACTTAAGACATTAGTGGTAAAACAATACTTTAAAGAAAGGCCTTCAATACTAAAACAAGCCCACTTAAAAACCAATTTCAGCATAACTTCAGTTGAGCAAAGTAAAAGAACTTCATTTAAAAATTTGATTGATCAATCTTAACTTCCACAGGCATCCCTAACTCATAAAGCTAATTAAAATGCACAATGTAAGTTAAGTGGTGAATGTGAAATACTCAGTCTGATCATTGCTCAATAAATTTGAAACATGGACAAATACCCAAATAATTTCCACAATATTGCTAATGTCATGCAACATGAGAACTTGTGAGATATGCTATTAACAGTTAACCCCTCTCTGAAATGATTCATCACTTTAATTGATGTTGCACTTATCACAAACCCTTAGAAATCCCTATTCAATTATTTCATTCCAGAGAGAGAAAGAAAAAGTGAAAAACCACAGCACTCAAACAGAAGCTGTGATTTGTATTATTTTGAACAGAAGCAAACAATTTTAACACAGTTATGATGATGGTTCCACAGGCAGGGGGTTAAGAGAAGAAACTTCTTCACAGTATTAACCACAGCACATATCGTTGACACATCACCCTGCATTTAACTGGATGAAAGATGATGAAGGTACCTCACAAAACACACCTTTCCCAACAGAAATGTAAGTGAATTGGTAATGTAAGTGCTTTGATATGACACTCAGTTCAACGCTCGAAGGACACCAGAGAAGCTGCCCAGTTGAACTTCATGTCACTTCCTGGCCACTGCTGGGAAGCTTTTTATATAGTACTGGCTAATATGCAGGAAACAAAATAACTTGAGTAGTCACCCAACGCCCACGAGGTGGTGCGCGAGGTTGGGAAGCAACAGTGAGCTAACACTACTACCTTCTTGAGACGCAGCCTGGGTTTCAAGTATGTCCACATAGGAGTCCAGTTCCCTCCAGTTTCTCAACAATTCATCCCGGTTAATATTCTCGAGCTGCTGCTCACTTAGCTTCACCCGACGACCGAGGCGGTTGTGGATCCCAGCAGGAGGGGGAGCTGAGACAGCACTGCTTTCCTCTGCCATCCTGTCAACCTACAAACAAAGAAATTCATTTCTATGATATGTTTTCAAAACGAAGCAGAATGAAATAGAAATTTACCATTTTATTCAATTTTCACATTTCTATCATTACAAATTCATCAACACAATAAAATTACTTGTATTCAATACACAAATAACGCAATTTTACTTTAAGCGAGTTAACTTTCAACAAAAAAAATGCAGCATTTTAGTCCGGAAGGTCAATGGAGTCCTTTGCTCTGAGGCTTGATCAAGATTGAGAGATAACCGACGTATAGACTGAAATCAAAACAATTTTTGAAACAAATACTAGTATATATCACAAAAAGTCCACAATGTTATAATTATTAACAATGCTGCTTTTATCAATGATTTCGTCCTCTCGATACAAACATATTCATCATGAAGTAAGGGACATGTTTCAGGCCTCCGCAAATTCCTGTCCCACTTACTGAGAATACCGCAGCTACACTCACAAGTACAGTAAACTTAAAACATATAATAAATGGATCATACAACACATACCGCCTTTCTCCAGGATGTCAAAATGACTAGTAATGAACAAACATTTAATAAAATCGATGCCCTCCATTCACGAAATGGCCCTACACTTGCACCGAGTGAACGCGTTCCTTTGCCACAGTCATGCAGTTTTAGAGTTGGATTACGCGAAGAATAATTTTAATCGAAGATCGTTCTACAACACCGATTTATCAACCGAAATCTACTTTGTATTATATTAATACGTTTATTTCAAATTATGTTAATGGTTACCAAAGAAAACTGGCTAAGGATTACTAAATTCTTACTTGAAAATCTTCAAACGTCATGATAGTTCATGAAGCACGATTAGAGGGCGGTGCCTGCCTTGGAGCCGGCTTGGTTAGAGGGAAAGGGGCGGGGGGTGACCACCCAATGTCTCAAATACCGCGCAAGTGTATGTATATACCCGTGGTGGTGTGTTAGTGAATTGCGAATATTTTGTGGTATGTTGGGGGCATAATAATTGTACATGTTATCAAGGAGGCTGCATCCCAGTTAAAATTAAGAAATGGTAAGTGTGGATTGCAATTTAAGTAAAATATAATGAAAATTTGTCTAATAGTAATATGTGTTTAAATACTTAAATAGCTCTGTAAGAGGGAAACCTTCCAATGTTTTTCAGTTGCCTCTATCACTATTAAGAACTGCCCAAAACCATCCAATGGTTAGTAACACTGGTGCTTTTTATTTATATTGTATTGCATGACACATGTTCAGTTGTGATATTTTTTTGTTTCTATTTAAGCTTGTAGAATTAAAGAACGGGGAGACATACAATGGTCACTTGGTGAGCTGTGATAATTGGATGAATATAAACTTACGTGAAGTAATTTGTACATCTCGAGTAAGTAAAAGTACCACAGTGTCAGTAAAATTGCTTTTGAGGTTACTATAACAAACACCATTCAATTTCACAGGATGGAGACAAATTTTGGAGAATGCCTGAATGTTATATAAGAGGAAGTACTATAAAATACCTAAGAATTCCAGATGAAGTAATTGACATGGTAAAAGAAGAAACTGTAATCAAAGGAAGAGGTAGAGGCGAAATGAAAGGACGAGGTGGCCAGGCACAGAGAGGAAGAGGTGGCGGCCGAGGTATGAACTATTTGTAAATGAGTTTAGTTATATCAATCAATCTTAGTTTTATAAATCAAGATAATTTATATTCATATATGGTAGAACCCGTCACAAACCATCGCCCATGACACTAGGACATGATCAATTCAAAAAATCTTAGATACTCAGAGAAATATTAAATAATGAATAAAAATACAAATGAATAAGTATATATTTACTATAATATAATAATATTTATATTTAAAAGGTATAGTGCACGCACAGACAGATAAACTGACTGCCAGACATAAAAATATACTTTCATACATACACTACATTATACTTTCTAGACTATCTTATATTGAAATGTAAGAGTTGGCTTTGGGAAGGAGTACAGAATTCAAAGGTATAAAGAGGTTTGAAGATAGGTCTATTGTACTTTAAACCCACTCTAAAGATGATTGATAAGTTGGTACATAGGTGGATTATTTAGGACTGAGGGTGGCATTTTATTGTGTTCATGTGTAACATTAAATCATGCTTTGTAATATTCAGTATAATTTTGAGTGCCATCTGTGAAAGTAAGCATTTTAGAAACTTCTTTTTCAGTCACATAGTTAATGATCCAAAAGCAAATTACTATTTTTGTTAAATTTCTTTTAACATTTTTAATGAAAGACAAACTTTTGCTATCTCCATTTCAGGGTACCATGTTATTTATTTCTAAGTAAACATTTTTTTACTCAAAAGTATGGAAGATAACTCTAACTTATTTCTGGAAACTGCAAAATATCTGCATTTTTTTGCTAACAGTTTTTGAAGGCCAATATGACTCTCCTCACTCGTGCAGTTTCAAATTAAAGACAAGGCTTCAGATCTTGGAATTTGTGTAAAACAATCTTGAGTCTGGCCAAATCAAAATCAAAAAAGCATTTTTGAGCCAAAATAATACGTACCAGTCAGTTCGTTTTAAGTAGTCCAGAATTTAATACATTGGACGCTCAACCATCTCAAAAAAATTCAAACTTTGTATATAAATGTCATTATTTTTTAGCTATTCAAAAACATTTTAAATTTTTTTAAATTGTACCTGGTTTTCAAATGGTTTTATACCGTGAACCATTTTTCGTGGTTGTAGTCATTTACTCTTTTCTGAATTACTCAGCTCTGTGTTATTCTAGCATTCAAGAATAAAAGGCATTGGATTCAGTATACTCTGGCCTACAAATTGTATTACAAATAGCATTTACCTACCTTTTATGCTTTTATTTGGGGAAGATTTTCAACCAAATCTATGGAACATGAATAAACAAAATTTGATTTTCAGAGAGTAAATTTTCAATACTGATAATGATTTAAGATGTAATGTAAAATGTAGTTTAACTCAATAAATTATAACATACCAAGACAATACTAGTTATTAATTATATGGGTGGGTGGAAAGATAGAAGTAAATCTTTCTCATTTTATCCCATTGTATAATTTAGTAAAATACTAAGTCTGGTTTATTGGATCAGTGCCTGATAATTGATTTTCATTCTTGTTGGTATAGTAGTGTAGATGCAGGATATATTAGTATGTACATGGAAGTGTTATTTGAGTAATTTAGTGTAAAGACATTACAGAATTCTTCATTCCTTTTAATAATTCTTCATTTAAAAACTTATTATTTTTTCCAGGAACCTTTGGAGGACGTGGTGGACGACCTGCTCCTCTTGGTCGGGGGGGTATAGGAAGAAATCCAAACAATAAGATGAAAAATAAGTGAAATATTCATCATTGAGTGTATGTTGCTTTTATTTATAAGATAGCAGTGTATCTTTGGTCAGATTCCTCCTGAAGTTTTATTTGTTTTCAGAAAATTCAGTTGTCTTTCAATGTTTATAAAAGACCAGCAATTGAAATATCTTTAGTTACAAGTTTCATTCAAATGTTTTCTTAAATCATATGTAAAATTAAATATGCCATTGGCACACACCAAAAGTAACATTTTTTCCCCTGCCTTGTTTCCCAAGCAATACCGACTCTTCCATTGAATTTATGGAATACTATTTTGCTGTGAATTTATTGTGACCAGTGCAAGAACTATTCCTGAACTCTGAAGAGACAAGAAATGATAATTTTAGAATAAGGAAGACATATGTAATTGGACATTTTTATAAAACAACTGGATACTGTGTTTAAACTCAGCTGCAACAAAAGATGCTGCTGAACCAAACCACACTAAATGGTTTTCCAAAAAGTAGTACACACACTGCTTAAGAACAATAAATAAAATGCTCTCATATAACACTGCAATAAATTTTAAGAAACAAAAAAACAGGCATCACAAGTCCTGCAATAATATTTATGTAGTATAACAAAGCATATATCGTGTAGGGGATACTCGCTGCCAGGATTAGCAAAATACTTTAAATTTAGTATTTAAAAGCCTCACCAAAATACTGTGTAAATAAGAATTTAAAAACATACTCAAATTACCAATCAGGTTTGATTGGCTTGATATTTAAAACACTCAAAATACCTTCAGTATAAACATTTTGTTGTATCTTTTTTATTGCAACAATATATTGTAATTGTCAATTACAATAAATTAGTAATTCAGTCATACGAATTTATGAACAATAACAAACTTAATATACATGTATACACTTTCAAATAGAAAATGATATAAAAAATATATCTAACAAAAATGAACGAAATTTTCTTTTAAAACCTCAAATTTTTCAAAAATGTCAGGTAATATCCCTAGTTGGCAAAAGTATAAATTCGCATGGGAAAACAGTTGTGCAACAGGCTCAGATGAACATAAACTGGTGTCATAACAAATAAACTTTTTTTTTTATTGTTTGATAAATGTCCAGCATTTTTAATGATTAAGATTTATCTTTTAAAAATGAAGAAAATTCAATTCAACAGCTGAAAGGGGCCTTCATTTTTGTGTCAATGATGTGCATTCGCTAGAGGAATCAAATAAAAAGAAACTACCCTCTTTACCTTTTTCATCTTATTTTTTAAGTTTTTTTTTTTTTTTTAATACCGGATTTCATGACTAAATACATGACCAATAAACTCAAAAATTCAGGTTTTCAGATACAAAATGTATTTAAAATACCTATTTCAAATATAAGTATTTAAATATTGGCCAACCATACTCACTGCAACAGATCTTAGCATGCCAAGAATGTAAAAAAAATTGCTGTTACATAACAACATAGGAATAGTATTTTCTAGGCTGTCCCGGTGACGCCGCGTCTATGGGGAAGGTGCCGACGTTTCGGTCGCCATTCTGCGACCTTCCTCAGGGCGTAATCAGGGAGGAAGGTCGCAGAATGGCGACCGAAACGTCGGCACCTTCCCCATTGACGCGGCGTCACCCGGACAGCCTAGTAAATACTGACTCCGGCCGCGGAAGCCTACGCTCTAACATATGAATAGCAAATATTTAATGGCACACAATCTCTTCCATGGAGTCTTGCTGCGAATGTCATCAAATATATCCAAGGCAGTGATAACACTGAGCGTAAGAAATCAGTTGGTAAGTGCTTCATGAGAATAGATGGAATAATGCAATCCAATATTTAAATTTTTGAGTTGATATGGTTTCTTGGTTTAGGAATTTTTCCTGACTTTCTGGATATATATTGAAACCATAAACACCTAAGATAGGTTTGAAATTATTTTTTATTAATTTCTGGGTACATTGGAAATTAGTAATATAGATTAGGAGGAAATGGGTGAGAAGTAAATTTATTAAATGTATCGGCCAGTCTTGGTACAACAATGTTCAGACTTTCTCATACTATCTGTAAAAATAATGTAAAATTGTAATTATATTTAAGCACAAATGTACAGACACTAGTTCAATTTGTCACCATGTAACAGTACCAAAATAATCAAAAATTACTCTACTAATAACTAGGGGGCATATTTTATTGAAATATCATTTTTTTCTTTTCACTTTAGGACAATGCTGTTTAGTACAGAAATTTATTTTGTTTTGACAAAGGGAACTTAACCATTTTTATAGTTGTTTTTGTCGTTGAGTTCGACTATTATATAATTATTTACATTTTTTATGCATGTTTTCTCTGATTTCATTGATTTTATATCATTGAAATAGACAACAAATATTTCAAACAATATTTACGAGGTGCAACAAATGTTCACCACAGAATTCCTGAGTAGCCTATTCCATATCTTCACTCATATATTGTAATGTCAGCCGTATTGAATACAGTACTTTTTAATCCAAGGTTCCTTTGATACCTGACAGCGCCATTGTTAGCCGATTTCGCGATTAATAAAGACGATTTTCTTTTAAAAAACAATCCAAACCAAAAGTTTGCGTGCTGAGTTTACTTGAACAAAAGGAAGAAGCATCGATTACAACAGTAACGTATCCAACACCTTCAGTAGTTCATCTGAAATGATTTGAATAAATTTTTTACTTCATTTTTCTTTGTTTTTAATTAAGGGAATGGGAATTTTAAGAGCATTTCGTTTATCATAATTGGTAATGTTTTAGGTCATCAAATTTCTCCCCCTACTAATAATGTCTAAACAAATGGTACAATTTTCAATCAGTAAACGCCATTTGATTCGTAATTAATATAGACGTAATTAATAATACGCTACGAAGCCTCTTTTGATAAAAATGGGTTTTGGAAATTAAAAAATGTAGGTTTGTAGTGCGATGGCGTAGTATTTCCTGAATCTAACGCCGTATCAATCATCCAAATCGGGTGAATATGTAAAGTGAAGTGAAATTTGGCAAAATTCATGTTGGAAATAGAAAATGTCCGAAGGACTTCTTCTAAAGTATCCAGAAACTTTTTAATAATTTTTTTTCACACTCGGTAAGCTTTGAGACAGGACAGACGGATAATATACATTTTCGAAGAAATTCTAGAAAGAGTTTAGGCGCTAGTTTTGTTCACAGATGGTCAGACAGACCGAGTTTGTTTGTTGTTGTTTTTTCGCGGGGAGGGGGATAATTTTGGGGGGTTCAGGAGGCCCCAAAACATGCATTTCCGTTGAAATTTGGAAACAAATTTTCCGCAGCAATACATATCTTTCTCTATTGTATCCATACCACCTTGGTGACTTGGAAGCGGGGATGTAGTTTTCAATAATACACTCATATTAAATTTAACAAACAAAACATATTTAATATCTAAAGTAATGGGCTTGGATGATAGATGATATTACATGAAATTTATTACTAATTTGAAAAATGCGACCTTTCTTTTCATTTTGATGGTTGACTCGACACAAACTAAATAAACTGGTTAGGCCGCCATAAATGCCAATTCTGATGGCATCTTTCTCTCAGCTTCTCTCAATTATTGTCCTACCGCATTTTAGCGGGAGTAAAGCTAGTGATTACCATTGTTGTTGTTGTTGTTGTTGTTCCGGCAGCAGAACACACCCAGCTGGTGGTGTTGTTGACCGGCGGGTCGCCCCGGTCAGCTGCAGCCAAGACCACGGCCACGGTCCTACGTCGCCGCGCTCGTCTCCCTTGCTCAGGCCAGACACAGGGATGGACGCCCCGACCGTCAGGCACTCACGATTCGCGTCGGCGAAGATTGGAATTCGCCTAATTCCCGAATCAAGCGATCGCGGACGGTCCACTACCATAGTGCGGGCTAAGCCGGCCTACGGCATGTAACTGAGTGCAACTGCGCACCGATGACTGGCATTGATGTGTGAGTGCACCTCACGATCAGCAAAAATAATTTCCAAGTGCCAGAATCTGTCTCTCTCTTCGCAAAATCTCGAAAGTGAATCTTTTCGTAGCTGAACCTCCGTCCGCGAATTACTGAAGGCGAATGCTTTTGGAACTTCTCTTCCGTCACCACGAGAGCTCTGGTACCTCACTTCTTCAGTGAGCCTCCTCCAGATTGACAGAAATCAAAGTTTAGCGGAGCGTGGCGGGTGGAGCTTCAACCAATGACTCGACGATCCACACAACAGACGAAAATTTTCCGTTGTTTGCGCAGCGCTGCGGGCGTAGTCCCTCCGCGATCTGCGAAAATGTCGTTGTGACCTAGATCGCCGGGGTTGCACGTGCGCGCCAAAATTCGTAAGGTCGTAAACCTTTCTTTCGAGTGGCTGTGATTGAAGCCGGTCCACTCGACGCGCGATCGCGTGAAGGGGAGACCGCCCTTTCTAAGTGCGACGGCAGGCCATAGACGACCCAAGTCTCTCAATAACAGAGATGAGGGGTGCGTGCTCAGGTACCGCCTTTTCAACGGCCGCTGGCCGTGCTAGATGACCGCGATTTCATCGATAAACGGCAGGTCGTACCGTTATACTATTCTACGTATATATACTTAGTATATACGTACGTATATAGGAAGCTGAATCTTGTGTTGCGGAAAACAGTGAAAGCATTATCTGACGAAACCCTGTCGGGGTCCAAGAGAACCGCCTGCCTCGCTTTGCCTACCGCATGCCTCCGCCCCCCCTCCTGCAGCCGTCCAAAACAGGTACTCGCGCACTACCGGCGACGTTGTGGGTGATGGCGAGGGGGGCGACGTGGCGCGGACTCGACTAATGTTTGAAGTAGTGCTGTTGACACTATGAATCCTGCAGGGCTGTCTTAAACGCGTAAGATCTGCTCAATAATGTTCGTGTATGGGGAGTTTGGTGACCAGTGTGCTTAAATTCTGAAGAATGTTCCTGGAGTCAGTCTGTAGCAATGCTGGACATGTGGGCTGTCGTATTGTCCTGCTGGAATTGGCGAAGTCCGCCGGGATGTACAATGAACATGAACCTGGTGTCACCTGTCAGAGACGTATCACAGGTCCCGTATCACTCCAACTGCACACGCCCCATACCATCACAGAGCCTCCACCAGCTTGAACAGTCCCCTGTTGATATGCAGGGTCCATGGATTCATGAGATTGTCGCCATACTTGTACACGCCCATCCGATCGAAACAATATGAAACGAGATTTGCCAGACAAGACGTGTTTCCAGTCATCAACAGTACAGTGTCGGTGTTGACGGGCCCAGGCGAGGCGTACAGCTTTGTGTCGTGCACTTACAAGGGTAGAGTCGTGCGGGCCTCTGGCTCCAAAACCCCAAACATAATGTAATGGTTCGCACGCTGACATTTGTTGATGGGTCAGCATTGAAATCTCCAGCAATTTGCTGAAGGGCTGCACTTCTGTCACGTGTAATGATTCTCCTCAGTCGTCGTCGGTTCCGTGTTGCACTAGCGATATCGAAGGTTTGATGTTTTACCGGATTCCCGATATTCACGGTACACTCGTTAATGGTCGTACGGGAAAATCCAAATTTCATCGCGGCCTCGGAGATGCTATGTCCCATCTTTCTGCGTCAGCTACAACATCACTTTCAACCTACTTAAATAGTGATAAACTGCCATTGTAGCATCAGTAACCGATCTAACGACTGTGCTGAGCCCTCTTTGTGCAGTTTTGTGAACGCACGGAAAGTGCAATGCCGTTCACGCCACTGCGGTGCGACCATTCCTACCTTTCTATGGCCAATGGGTGCCCCGCAATATTGCGTTCCCGGGCTGCCCAAGGTTCGTTCCCGCGACTCGCTGCTTGTTGCAGCGGTTAGCTTTCTGCCGCCTTGCGCTCTTCAGAATGGAGCACGTGCCGATCCGTGCGGGGCGTGCGCGCCAACTTCGAATGTATTACTCGCGCAA